CAAAGAAACAAATTTAAATGTATGATATTAATAATTTTGTGAACAGATAAAGATTAGATGTAATAGTGAGCTACATAATATTGAAAAAAATTTTTTTCCTTTAGAGGTGCTTGAAGGACGATTGCATGTTTAAGAGGAGGATTTTGTTAAATACATTTGTAATCAATACTAAGATGTTTAGTAATATTTAGATATTTATTAGACTTATAGTCAACAATTTGAGCATCACATTAGCATGAATGTTCTTCTCCATTCACAAACCTCCTTGAGCCTGAGGCCATCTGTGAGCAATGTGTCTGCTTGGGCCTGTGGAAGAGTTTATATTCACATAAGTCCAAGTGGGGGACATTTGACTTATGAAGCGGGGGGTAACCATGCTATCCTGTTTTCAAAGGACACAGTCACACAGTATTCAGAGCTGTACCACGACTTCACCACTACACAAGTGGGGATGCATGACGTAGTCCGCAGCTTCCGGCAGACCTTGGACAAATATAGCACAGAGCCTGGAAGATACAGGTAACAATAGGATGCACAAGTACAGTGCGTGATCTCTAGTTTATCCCCCCAACCAAGGAAGTCACTAAATTGTAATCTGATTTAGAAAGAACAATAGTGGATTGAGAGCCAAATGCATTTCTTTCTTTTTTTTAAACCATTTATTTTAAAGATTTTTATTTATTTATTTATACAAGAACTGGGGTACAGCCCAGAGGTGCGGGAGGGTGAGAGGATTCACCAGAGACAGAGTGGGGAACAGAACAGGCAGACAGACTGAAATACACTGCTGAGGGGAGCAGCGGGCAAGACAGGAGAAATCTGCCACGCCATGTGGGAATCTCCCTGGCTGGCCAGGAATTGAACCCACATTGAAGAGGCTGCAGACAGCTTCACAGTGCTGCGCTCAACCCGCTACGCTACCAGGGAGGCCCCAAATGCATTTCTAAACTCTTAGACTTGGCATAGTATAAGCCAAGTGTTTGGGCTTATTTCAGTGAGGTTGTCCAGGTGACCAGCATCTTGTCAAGCAGATATAAGCAACTACATAGCACTTTCTCAGTCTTCTGAGAGACCCTAAAGACATTGCACCTGCCAACTCTTACAGGTTCATGGGGACTGAAGCCTATGGAGAGAGCATTGACAAGACCATGATGTACTATGGGTTGCCTTTTATCCAAGAAGCAGATTTTCCCATCAACAGTTACCTCAGCATGGTCGACTCTCCTGGAAACAATGTGTCTAAAGTTATCACATCCTGGATGGAAAATATGCCAGAAGGAAAATGGCCTAATTGGATGGTAAGTCTTCATGACCAGCTCAGCTCATCTGGTTTTGGTGTGTTTGTTCAATAGTCATCTCTAAAAGGAGGGTTATGTCTGTCTCTAAGTGACCTTCACCTTTATTATATTTAGTGACTGTTCATTGAGTCAGGTTTGCCTCTGTTCCTGGCCAGGTTCTTGTCATTCTTCTTTTTTTTTTAATAAGAACTTTTTTTTTTTTAGATTTATTTATATTTATTTATTTATTTATTTAGACAAGCACTGGGTACAGTCAGAAGCGCGGGAGGGTGAGAGAATTCACCAGAGCCAGAGCGGGGAGCAGAGCAGGCAGAAGGACCGAAGTACACTGCTGAGGGGAGCAGCGGGCGGCAGGAGAGGTCTGCGCGCCATGCGGGACCCTCCTCTGGTGGCCAGGGAGCAACTGGAGATCGAACTGGCGCTGCAGAGGCTGCGGGCAGCTTCGCAACCTGGTGCTCTACCACTGCGCCACCGGGGAGACCCTCTTGTCATTCTTCTTGTTCTCAGACTACCTAAATTCAATTGTTCTGTTTTCTCGTTTGTTGGTTCCTCTGTCAATTTTAATCTACAAAGTCCCTCTAGTGAATATTTCATTTCTTTTATTATATTTTACCAAGGATGAAATTTCTATTTGGTTCTTTTTAATAATTTCTTTATTGATTGTATCATTGCATGAGATATTCTCATATTTTAAACTCTTTAGATATAACATTTCTTTGAACACCTATATGTGTATATATGTACACACACACACACACACACACACACACAGAGATGACTTTGTCCGTTAAGTCCAAAGATGCCTGGGTTTCCTTGGTCACATTTTCTATTGACTTGTTTATCTTCCCCAGTATGTGCGTATATATACTTACTGTTTCTTTAGATGTCATGTATTCTTTGTTATTATTAAAAACCGGTTATTTTAAAGTATACATGGGAATTTTGGAAGTTATATTCTCCCTTCTCCAGTGTTCATTGTTGTAGTTTCTTTAGTGACTTTATTGGATTAGTTCTATAAAATCTGTGCTCTTTACTGTGTGTGAGCCCTGAAGTCTCTGCTTACTCAGTTAATGATTTGAGATTTCGTAAATGCCTCGAACCTATAAATCTCCCATTCTTTGCTGAGGGCTTATGTGTGTGTGTGCACATGTTTTCAACACTCTGACAGATGGTTTACAACTCTGTTTTAGTCTCAATTTCTGTTTGCAGAGTCTCAAGGTTGATCAGAAGTGATACATCAGCCTCCTCAGGTCTTCCCGGGCTTCTGCACAGCCCTGTACATGGGCATCACCTTCCAGATGCCAGGAATATGTCAGAGCCCTTAATGTCCTTATGGTCATCTCATCCCTATCTCTTTACAAAAGTTTTGTGTTCAGGCCCAACTGCTAATAACCACCCTAGGCAGATGCATTGTTAAACAATTGCTGCTGATTGCTTCTGGAAAATGCCATGGGGGATAGTGCTATTTGCACAGAGTAAGCTGAGTCAGATCAGATAAAAAAAAAAAAAAAACACCCAAACCAGGCTGCTAGAAAGGTCAGTGACAGTTCTCTAGACATGGAGCTCTTGGTGAACTCTGTGTTCTGCTCATCCAGTTGCCACAAAACTGCTGTTTTTCACAACTACTGTATTTGTTAAGACTTGGGTTTAAAACTATTGTGGACCTGAGGAGAGAGGCATGAAATTAGGGCAAGTTAAAAATGATACAATATTTGCTTTTCTTGGTGAAATCTGGTTGTTTTTCTTGAAGAAATACTCCTCGGATTGTTACAAGTCTCTAATTTCCAGAGTTCTGAGAAACTTGGTTTTTACAATTTTTGCTTGCATTTTCCTCTTTCATGGTGATTTTTGAAGGTCCTTCTTCCACTATTTCAGAAGTGCCCTCCCTCATTTCACAAATTGTATAATGTAGTTTTGGTACTTGATTTTTCAAATACTTTGAATATCAGATTATCAGAGGCGATTGGGACCTCTCTTAGGCTGTGAGAGGCCCTCTCTGTCCTTGCTGTCAGTTACCTGTAGCAATATTTCTTGATTTCAGTTCTGAAAAAGAAAGTAACGGATGTACAGAAGGCATGAGGAATCTGAATTTTCTTGTCAGATGCTGTCAATACAATAACAAGAATAAATGGAGGCAAAATTTGACTTAATTTTCTGGCCATAAAAATACTGGCCCCCAAAAATACATGAAAAAAAAAAAAGGTCCTTGAAAAGACCACTATAGATTTAGTAAATTTAAAGAAAACAATTATCAACCTTCCCTTTATTGAGTTGTAACAACCAAATTCCCCTTCTCAGACACAAATTCAAAGAGTCATTCAGGCTTATACCCTGATTTGAAAAGATGATGTAGCTTTACAGAGATTGTTCCAACATTTATAAAATGGAGATAATAGATGAGTGCACAATAGAAGGGGGGAAATAAGACAGATCATAGATGTGAAAGGACTTTTTAAACATGCTATGCTCAGCATATGCAGATAGCACTGAGTTGTAGCATATGGAGAGTAGATGATTTAAATAAATTCTCAAGGACTAGATGGTGTAATATGTACTAGAGCTTTTAACACAGATGTATCTAAAAATAGAAAATAGTTTACAAGATTTTCTTTTGGACCATGTAAATGTCTTTATAAATTTGATTTATCTTTTAAAATTTGAATAGTTCAAAGCAAGCACACAGGAAAGGGACACATCAAAAATGTTTCTCACCTCTGCCCCCTCCACCTTGTTCCCTTGTCCTGTTGTCGGTGGGAAACATTTGTTTCCTTTTCTGTCACTATTCTCTTAATCAAACATGTGAAAATATTGTGTAAGCTCATAAATTTTCTGTTATTTGTGGTATCATTATGAAGTAGATTGTGATCCTAATGGGCAGGACAGTAAATCTGTCAGTTGCACAGCAAGCAGCAGGGTTGGACTCAGGCCCAGGCTTATTGGTACCCAGGGCTGCCTTGCTTTTATGCCTGGTGTACCTTTTTTTTTTTTAAGATTTATTTTTATTTATTTATTTATACAAGCACTGGGTATAGTCAGAAGCACGGGAGGGTGAGAGAATTCACCAGAGCCAGAGCGGGGAGCAGAGCAGGCAGAAGGACCGAAGTACACTGCTGAGGGGAGCAGCGGGCGGCAGGAGAGGTCTGTGTGCCATGTGGGACCCTCCTCTGGTGGCCGGGGAGCAGCCGGGGATTGAACTGGTGCTGCAGAGGCTGCGGGCAGCCTCGCAACCCAGCGCTCAACCAATGCGCCACCGCGGGGCCCTGGTGTACCTTTTGTGAAGCAAAGTAAGTCTTCTAGAAAATCATGTGTAGAACTATATTCTTCAAGGTATCTTCCTTTCAGATTGGCGGACCAGACAGTACCCGGCTGACTTCTCGTTTGGGGAAAGACTATGTCAACATCATGAACATGCTTCTCTTCACACTCCCTGGAACTCCCATAACTTACTATGGGGAAGAAATAGGAATGGGAAATATCGAACCCATAAAGCTCAACGAAAGCTATGATGGTGTAAGTCAATGTAATTTAACCATGCACCATACCAAGTGCTCATTTTTGCCTTATCAGAGAATTTAATATTTCTATTCTGCTGCTGAAATGCATGATTATTTTGCTTTCCTTTCTGTTAGTAAGAATTCTTGGCCTTGCTTGGGGTGCTTGTTAGAAATGCTGCTTGCTGAGCCACACAACATATTTCCTTGCGTAGAGGCTAGGGACCTGCATTTTACATGTTTTACAGATGATTCTTAGGGATATGAAAACCTGAGATCCTACTTTTGAGTTTGAAATATTGTTCCTCATCCTCTACCTGAAACATGGAGTTAGGAACTTTACAGTGCTTGCCTGTACTGCTAGCTCACCCTTGGCTGTAGCAGATTCTTCTTTTATGTTAATAAATGTAACACAGTTTCAGACTTGGTTTTAGTTTGAGGCTATGGATCTCACAATTCCGTCACTGGGCAAAAGAAAGTTGTAGCACTTTTAACTAGTAAGGGTAATTTTCCATTGTGTAACATTTAATCTAACAACTGGTTAAAGCGAAACTGCCTGTTTTAGTTCCTAAATTTGTGTGTATACTCATGTGCAGTCACCAGGCTGGATGCAGGATAGACTAGGCTCACTTGAATGTGGCTGCCTATTTGAATTCAGCATCCCTGCATCATAGAATGAACTGCTAGAGGCACATTTTTATTTTTTTTTTAAAGATTTATTTATTTATTTATACATGCACTGGGTACAGTCAGAAGCGCGGGAGGGTGAGAGAATCCACCAGAGCCAGAGCGGGGAGCAGAGCAGGCAGAACGACCGAAGTACACTGCTGAGGGGAGCAGCGGGCGGCAGGAGAGGTCTGCGTGCCATGTGGGACCCTCCTCTGGTGGCCGGGGAGCAGCCGGGGATCGAACCGGCGCTGCAAGGCTGCGGGCAGCTTGGCAACCCCGCGCTCAACCGCTGCGCCACCAGGGAGGCCCAGAGGCACATTTTTAAAACCTACATTACTCATTTTTGTTGTTGTTTTCCAGTTCTTTTAGCCTTTTTATTACATTGTGGGGGGGTGCCCAGGATCTAACTGGTGCTGCAGAGGCCGTGGGCAGCTTCGCAACCCAGCGCTCAACCGCTGCGCCACCAGGGGAGGCCCTATTACATTGTGTTTTTATTGGGTAATATTGGTTTATAACACTTCATATGACTCAGGTACAGGTGCACACTTCTTCAGATGCACGTTGCTGTACCACACCCACTACCAAAGCACCCAGCGTCCTCTACCACAGTCCATTGGGCCTGCCCTGCTTTTTGTCCCTGGCCCCCAACCTTCCCCAATGGTAGCCTCAGTTTTACAGTCAGATTTCTAGGGTTTGTTTGGTTTAGTTTTGTCTGCTTCCATTACTCATTTCTAGGGGAAAGCAGCAAAGATTCCATATGTCAAAGTTCAATTATGATACAGTCTCTTCAAACTCAAGATGTCATTAACTTTCCCAGTTAAAAATGTTTAACTGGTTTATGTACTAAATGTTAACGCCTTTTTATTATGAATGTGAACGAATGCAAGTAGTGGCTAAGAAATATAGGGAACTAAATATTTATGAAGTAAGTCATAACCAAAGTACATTTTTTTGTAATAACCAAACCATTGTTTTCTCCTTATGTCTTTTTGACATAGAATACACTTTTTTCAAAGTCACCGATGCAGTGGGACAACAGTTCAAATGCTGGCTTTTCTGAAGGCAATCACACCTGGTTACCCCCCACTTCAGATTACCACACTGTGAATGTTGATGTAAGTATCCATGGCAACTTTATGCTGATTCCAGAAATAGGAAGTGAATCTCTGTGTGACAACATATACTTACCCAGAGTATATCTAAAACCTTAACTGATGCTGTTTGAATCAGTCACCTAGTCTTCTCCTGCAGTTTACCATTGTAGGGGGTTTGCAAGTCATGTTTTTGTGAAAACACAACTGATGTAGAAATGAAGTATTTCTGGAGTATCCCGAATATACAGCATTTCAATGAAATGACTTGAAGACCTTTGCGCTATGGAGGTTTTTTAAAACAAGTTCAACACTTCCTCCTCTCCTTCCTCAAAAGGAAGGAAGATGAATCCACCAATCTAGGGCAATGTGCACTTGAGAGCAAGACTGCTGACTTGAAGAAACAAGAATAATCCCTAAAAGTAGTCGTTTTGGAAAAGCACACCCTTTGGCATTTGCCTGTGTCATTTTCTGTCCTCAAGTTTGCCAATTTAAGCAAATGATCAAGTTTGATCAAGTTTGCCAATTTAAGCAAATAGATTTCCTAAACAGGAATGCATACGTTCTAGTAAAGTGGTAAGTACATTTCTTTAGACTAGAAAAATATGAACTGGCTTCAGGTGAGTAAAAGGAGATTTCACAATCAAGCACTAATGAAAATCTCACTGGAAAACACAATAAAAACAACTTTAGGGGAAGAGAAATTATTGGTTCCATGTGAGGGTATTTAGAACATTTATAGCATCTCTTTATCACGTTCTATTATTATTTTGAAAAGTCCCCATATCATTCTGATATCAAACTTCATGTAAGTTCTCCTGTTTCTACAACTCTCTACTGTAAGCCATGGGGAATTTCAGGATAATATAAGCTTTGTTTTATGTATTTGTAAGTTCCGAAAACCACACAAACTATATATATATATTTTTTAGCATTTGTATTCTAGATTAAGTGCATCTATTGGTTTTTATTATGTCTAAAATACTCTTATAGACCAATTTGAGTTCAATCTTTTAGAAAGGCTACTTAATATTGTATGCCAGCAAAGATGGAAAAGTGTAAATGCAAATGAAAACATTTTTTTCTATCATATTAGTCAGGTCTTTAAAAAGTGGTCATAAGTGAGGCTTGGAGGGATGCAGAGTCATAATCAAAAGTTTCAGGTGATGCCATTTTAATAAAATATAGTGATAAAAGCCCTAGAAACAGGTGAGAATTTTAGTAACTTCTAAAGGATTGAAAATAACATGAAGATTATAGAGAAAGAAGTACATAGACATTATTGTCTAAAATATACAGGAGAAAATGGCTTTAATAAATACAGGTATGAGCACTTGGGAATATTCCCAACCTACAGTCACTGGCTGTACCAGAATTTCCCTAAGTAAAAGAAAACAAATCAAGGGCTACTTGGTGCTCTGTTTGTGTTGGATGAATAAAGCAACACTTGAAATAGTGTCAAACTTCTACAAGCACAGCAGAAGTAAGAGAAGATCTAATTCTAGCGATGTGCTCTGGGTAATTCATGGCAGAATGTGCTCAGATATGACTTTTATTCCTTAGCTCACAAATAAAACACTTTTATTCCCTTTTGTATAGAAAAGGAGGCAGTATTCTAGGGAGCTTATCACTAATCAGTTGTAAAAGAAACCCTTCTACCCCAAAGAGCTACATCCAGATTAGCTTCTCACAGTTATTACAGGCTGGCAACCAAAGACAGGCAAACTGGGAGGACAAGATTGCCAAAGCAAACAGGCCACTAAGAGTCACACTACATTTGATAAAAAGTAAGACCAGGAACGAGAGATACCATTCCTAGCAGAACATTGTAGAAAGCACAGAAAATATGGCAAACGTAAGACCCCAATATTAGAATAAACACCCCCGTCTCCCATAGACTGCTGTGCTATGGAGCCCCTTGACATCCTTTAAAGTAATTAGGTATCTTATACCATGACATACACAGAAGATCTGATTGGTGTACTGGAAAACTGATCTTCGGGATTTGTCCTAGAATGCACTGTAAAAAGGCAAAGATGTTATCAGTGCAAGAGAAAAATTTTGATGTGCAGAAGACAGATCTAGAAACTAACACACAACAAAAAGGAATTCTAAAAGAGAACATAGACTGGAAACAAACAGATAAGCAAAGGAAACCCAGAGATAATGGATTCATCTTCTCTAGATTGGCAAGAATAAAGAGAAAACCCTAAAAATATATAGGAAGAAATCAAACTCAAAAATAGCATCAGATTTCTCAAATGGACACTAGAACATATCAGAACTTTTATCTTCAAAGTTATAATGGAAACTTAATGCTAAACCTCTAGAATCCTCTATCCATTCAAAGTAAGATTCAAACACAAAATAGAGATGGAAAAGCAAGGAAGCAAATTTTACCATGTATAGCCAATGTCTGAAAGAATAATTAGCAAAGGTAAACATGAATCTAAAAGGAATACATGTATAAAAAAAGTGAGAAAAGGAATCAACAAAACAGATTTTTTTCCACACATAATATAAAATAAGATTATCAAAATACACCATGACACACACTAAGTTCCAATTAGTATGTTCTGGAACAAAAATTTAGTCAATCATTTCTATATGGGATCTGTAGCAGGGAGAATGTGTGTGGAGAGCTGACAGGCCAAACACTTGTCTTACATGGGGAATGGAAGGACAGTAGCTTGCTCTAGAATTGAGCTATCCAGCTAATAACCACTTTGACCATTAAAATTAAATAGCATTAAAAATTAAGCTCCTGTGCCACACTATCAACATTTCAATTGCTCAAGAGTTAGTAGCTACCATATTAGTAAGTGTAGACACAGAACATTGCTAGCACTGCAGAAAGTTCTATTGGACAGTACTGCTCTCTATGTGAGAAAAATATATTTTAAATGACTATTACATTTTTAAGGGCAACCATTAGAAGAAGAGAGATAAACGCCTAATTTTCAAAGAATGCTGGAAAGAAAAAACTAGGAAGGAAACCAATCAATCCAATAAAAAGTTAAAAAGGAAGAAAACAAAATAAGTTTAAATAAATGATAAAATAAAGCTTTATGTCCAAACATAATAATCAAATATAAATGGGTTAAATTCTCCTATTGAAAGATAAAACTCAGATTAGACAAAAAATTTGACATAAGACATATAGCAAAAATGAAAGGACACAAAGAATTAAAGATACCACAGGCAAATGCTAATAAAAAGAAAGCTTGCCATCTGTATAGCCATCAAAACATGCATATACCTTTTGACCTAGTAATTTTATTACCGTATTTATTACCGAATATCATTTTAGAAAATGATATTCAATTTCTACATACAGATGAGATAAATTTTTAGAAAACAAATGAATAAAGAATGAATATAAATGGAAAAAGAAAATTATATTCAAGGATCTCTATTGGAACATGGTTTTTAATAGAAGACTCTGGAAATGATTTAAATATTTTACCAAAAGCAAACCAGTTGAATCAATTATACTGTTAATCCATACAAGGCCCGGTAATGTGCAGCTTTTAAAAAGAATGAAGGCGTTCAGTGTGCACTGACAGGAGAACATCTCTAACATGTACTGAATTAGAAAATACGGCTACAAAATGAGGACATTTCCCTTCTGTATAGAAAAAAGGAAAGTATTGACTTGTTTGCTTAGTCACAGAGTGCATCACTTCCTGGGACACATAAAAATGAAAGAAAACAATCACAGTAACTATCTCTGAGAGGACTGGGAAAGTAGGGGATGGTGTAGGAGATATCCTTTCCATTTTACATATTCTTGTAGTGAATCTTATACTGTGTGCACACATACCCTATTTAAAAATTCTATTACAAAAAGAAGGTGTGGAAATATTTAATAGCAGACAAAATAGAATTCAATATGAAAAGCATTATGAGACGGGCAATTTTCAAAAATTGGTAAAAGAACATTCCACCACAAATCATGAATCTATGCATCTATCATAGCTTCAAAATATATAAAACAAGTACTCTGAGAAATGCAAAGAGTAACTGACAAATCCACAATTACAGAGACACACCAACATACTTCTAGAAAGTGGTAAATCAAGTAGACAAAACTAATAGTTAACACTTATTGGGCACTTATATGTGTGGCACTGAACTATGTGCTTTTTTCATGCATTATCTAAGGCTACGGAAAATATTAATAGTAATTTGACAAGTCATACATATACCATATACATGTACCATAAATACCTTTGCACCTAATAAACAGAGAATAAACATTTTATCAAACATTCATTAGCTATTCACTAAAGACCACACATTAGCCATCTGCCCCAAGTGGACGACGACCACGACGACACAAGCACCACTGCAGTCAACACGGCTGGCTGGAGCACAAGGAGTGACCATTACCACTGATTTGGCAACAGCTCTTATGAAGAATTTGGCATTAACATCAAATGTCCATACTCTTTGACATAGTAATTCTCTTCCTAATCGCTTGTCCTAAATAAATAATCCAGACATGGGGCAGGGAGGGGCACTTAAAATATATAAAACATTAGAAACTTGAATGTTGAAATAAAAGGAAATGGTTAATTATAGTCTTACAATTTAATAGAATATTATTCTGCCATCAAAATGACATTTATGAAAATGACATAAAATAACAGTGGAAGATGCTTAAAATGTTAAAAGAAAAAAAACAGAAAAAATACATTGTTTTTATATAGCTGTACTATAAACCCAAATCTCTTTTAATGGGAGGTAAAGGAAAATACAATTTCTAACTTTCTCGTTAGGTAGAGTTTTGCTTTGCATCTTTTTTTGGTAACTCTTGTTCATTAGCTATGCAAGAATTACATGACTGCTGAAGTTACAGTAACCCATGCATTATTCTATGACAGAGAACAGAAAAGGCCCAACTCACCACTTTTTGGAGTCATTGCCAAGGTGGCTGCTTTTTGGCCAGTTACCATATAGCATAAAAGGACTTTATTTAAGTAAGTTAAATATCCAGTCACTTAGGTGGGGACATTTGTTTCGGGATTCCTAGAGTGGAGTCAGATGTGGTCTTCATACCGGCTCTGGCCAAAGGCAGCCTAGCAGCAAAGGCAGTGACTCCCAGATAAGGTGAAGGCCAGCCCTTGTCATTCCTATCAGCAGCTAGACTGTTCTTATCTACTTATTAGATAATTTACTTCCTAACAATCTGGTAATCATCTTAAGGGGTAAAACTGAAGTAAGTGTTTTTTCAAATAATTCTTTATTTGATACTAAAAATAATAAAAAATCTTTTAGACGCTAACATTTATGTTGATATTTTTTTTCTTTAAATAGGTACAAAAGAGTCAGTCCACATCAGCACTGAATTTATATCAAGAATTGAGTTTGCTTCGTGCTAATGAGCTACTCCTTAACAGGGGCTGGTTTTGCTACTTGAGGAATGACTATGACTCTGTCATGTACACGAGAGAGTTCGATGGCATAGACACAGTCTTTCTTGTGGTTCTGAATTTTGGAGAATATTCACTGTTAAATCTAAAGGAAATTATTTCAAATATTCCCACGCAAGTGAAGATAAGATTAAGTACCAATCCTGACCACAAAGGCACTGTAGTTGAGACGCCTGCCGTCAAACTGAACAAGGGAGAGGGACTCATTCTTGAATACAAGACGAAGAACCCCCTTCATGGCCAAACGGCTTTCAGAGACAGATGTTTTGTTTCCAATTGGGCATGCTATTCCAGTGTGTTCAACATACTGTACAGCTCGTGTTAGGCACCTCTACAAAAAAGATGAAGACACTGGAGTCCTCTCCTATTACAGGCATTTGCAGTAACTTCATGTGTAACATGCTGCTGGGTAAACTTTATGAATAGTCATTCTTAGATGTTTCTGTAGCTTGAATGTAACTGCTTTAGGTAAGGTTCGGAAATGTTTTTACAAAGAATATTAAAATCTTCAACAGAAAATTATTACCTGGAAGAACTTGTAACTTTTTTGAGATAGCATCAATAAGAGATGAGCAGAATGCCTTAGGACCCAGGTTAGTTGGATGGATTTTAACGTGAAGAATGTTCTTTTTTCCATAAAATGCATAAAATGGAAGATCACTTATTTTGACACTTCAGTAAAAGTGTCAAAAATGTTTACTAGCCAAGAAGCAGGACTTTGATTTGTAAACTGTTCAAAAGAAATCTAAGTAAAACAGACAAAAAACAATGGGGTAGGGGGCGAGTCAGCTGTCACCAATCCTTTTCCACATCCTCCTCACCCCCTACTCCACATCCTCCCAAGGAGCATGATTTGAAATGTTCAGGGACATATGCATCAAAGCAGAGAACAGTATAAGCAGGTGAGACCCACTCCACACAAACTCTAGATGGATGAATAGAGAAGCAGATTTTAAAAAATTATTTACCGACCTCAAAAAAAATCTCACTTTTGCTAACTCAACTGGACAAAAAACTGAAATATTTCGGTGTATTTCTAATTCCTCTTGAATGCAGCATTTCAGAATTTTAAATATTTCTTAAGATTCTCGAAAACACTGGTGCTGTCAAGTCCAAGTTCCTCATACAGGAATTTAATTTGGGCTGTAATCTAAAAGAAACATGTTAAAAAAAAATTTTAGACAGAAGGCCTTTGTGGTAAAAGCCCAATGTTTCTGTCTCTCTTTGCCTATCAATCTTAACTGTGAAGTCAGCCATTGTGGCAAGGGAACTTTTATTTGGGACAGGCAGAAGGTTCCCAAAAATTTTCAATTACTTTCTGTAACAAAGCTCAATTTTCAAGTACAGAGAGCCTTTTCTCTCAACTGACTCAGTGTTCCTCCCACCCCCGTTGGGTCTCAGCCTCAGACCTGCCGCTGGGAAATAGCTGTCATAAATCCTGTGCTGGGAAGTAGCTGTCATAAATCCTATCGCAACCACTGAAACATGAGCGTGGAGCACTACACTTCTCTGCCTGGGGATCTGTTGCCTGAGAGAGGCTTGATACGTACCTTTTTGTGAGAATCCTCAATTACATGATTGCCTCCAGGCTGAACATCTAAAACAATATTGGGGGCCTGATAGCCTGAAAGAGTTAACATATGAAACCATCAGAAGGCTTTTGGCTAATTGAGACCCACTTCTCCCCTCTCCTTCCACTTTGTTAAAATATAGGCAAAAACCACCGCCACCATCAAAGAGAGTGCCTGGGGCAAGCAGTAGAAGATAAATTTCTGAGATAGGGAAAGCAGGAGGAGGGCCAGAAATAAGGAAGTTGCATGGAAGTCTGTAGGGCCAAGCGAAAAAGGTGGTGACATACCAGGGAGCCATTTGGGCCTGTGGAACCCGGTAGTCTTGTGACCTGGAAACACTAACTACAGCGCTGGGTGAGAATGAGACAAGGAACTGATTACAAAGCTTGGATGTGGGTCCCTCCCACCCATGAGCCCAGAAGGCCTTGGCATGTCAGGGCGAGGAAAAAAGGTAAGAGTTCTTGGCTAATGAAACTGAAAGATCTTGAGAAAATTAAATCAGATAATTTGGGCACTGAAGTTCCAGAACAAAACATCAAAATCTGTTAGAGAGTCCCAAGAATAATGGCTTGATTAATATTGCTAAATAAATGAATGATTGTATCATAATACATCTCCAAGGCATATTTGATTTTTCAATTTACTTTTTCTGTCTGGCCTACCTTATTTTTTATTTTTTTTTAAGATTATTTATTTTTACATAGCAGAGCAGGGGGTACATGCCAGAGGTGCAGGGCTGAGGCTTCACCTGTGAAAGTGGGGAGCAGAACAGGTGGATCTACTGAAATACACTGCTGAGGGGAGTGGTGGGCAAGACAAGAGAGGTCTGCTGCACCATGTGGGTTAGCTCCCTGGTTGGGGATCGATTTTAGGCTATAGTGGTTCTAGCACTGAGACTTAACCCCTAGGCACCAGGAAGGTCCCCTGGCCTACCTATATCTTATTGTCTTTTTTTTAAAATGGAGGTAACATTGGTTTACAACACAGTATATAATTCAGCGGTTTAGGATAATACTCTCATTTAAGAGAGGTGAGGAAGCTATAATTATTATACATCCTTCAAGTGGGCTGTCAACATGGGTGAAAAAAACAATTGCCCTAAATTACAGGCATGTGGTTGGTCGGAAGCATAAAATGTTACACTGAGCTGTATGCTGAAGGTACTAGTCCACTTAGCTAATTCCGCTTCTAGATGGTTTATACCTTCACCAGCATCCTTAGCATGTTCCGCGACGGCTTCCTTGAGTTTGTCAGTATAGTTCACAATTCCTTTTAGAGGTACACGTTCATCATTTTCATAAGCTGTGATGTGAATCGAAGGATAATGCTGTAAGACAACAGATATACAAAGAATTTATATTATTCCTTATTGTCACTTTCCGCCTTACAGGTGACAAACAACTGCCTGACATTTTTTCTGCTAGGTGCTAGATGTTTTTTCTCATTTGATATTCTTGAGAGAGCTATAGCATCAGAGTACTAGACTGCTTACTACCTGAAATACTTTTTTTGACTAGAGAGACCATGGCCTTATAAGGGCCTACCATGGTGAGCCACTAAAATGAAACGCAAAAGGAGTATGAGGAGAGGTGGTGCTTAAAGGCATTTGGTTTTCTAAGCAGAAACAATCTAAAGTACTACTAAATCCAGGTAAGTATCATTCTGATTATCTTTTCTATCACTTGACAATAATACAGCAAAACAGATTTTCACTACCTGAGGTTTAATATTTTGATAGGGACAGTAACGTTTTATGTAGTTCTTGTGTTTTTCATCAGAAGAAGGATTCCCCCATTCTTCTAATTCTTCTACTGTCAGAGGCAGTGTAGTATCCATCATGGTGTTGAGGACATCCAAGAAAGGTGCCTAAAACAAAAAAGTCAAACTTAAACTTTGAAGCAAAAGTTGGTAAAATGAGTTTCAGGAAAATATACTTTATGAGTACACATGCTCACAAGAGAGAACAAAGTCAGGAAGCCATGTGAATTCCTGGTAACAGGGGCCTGTGATTTATAGCTTGCTTTTAAGGTATGTCAGACTCCTTAAATGACATTTATATAAAAAGAAAGGGTTGGGCTTCTGATTTCCCAATTTTTTTATTTTTAGTTTGCTGTCCTTTATTTACACATATGAATACATATGTGTGTAAATACATAATATGAAAGTAGTTCATGCCACCACTTCACACCCTTTAGTATGGCTACTATAAGAAAAAAATCAAGTGTTGACAAGGATGTGGAGAAACTGGAACTGCAGTGCACTGTTGGTAGGAGTGTAAAATGGTGTACACGGTGTGCAGGTTTCTCAAAAATATTAAACTTAGAATCACATATGATTTAACTATCTATCCCTAGGTATATGCCCAGAAATTAAAAGCGGGGTTTTAAAAAATAACCCACATTTATAGCAGCAATATTCACAATAGCCAAAAGTGAAAGCAACCCACGTGTATCAATGGATGAATAGATAAGCAAAATATCACAGTGATACAATGGACTATTCATCTTCAAAAGGAAATTCTGACACATGCTAAAACACAGATGGACCTGTGTACCTGTGTCCTGTAGCTAATACGACTGCCCATTTTGAACTAAATGCTTCAAAATAGATAAGATGGCAGATTTCATGTTACTTAGTAAAACTTTTAAAAACTCAACAAATTCTTCATCAGTTGGACATTATACATTTAAAAAATGTAACAAAAAATGCTAATTGAAGAAAACACCTGGAAAATATCTCTAGATAAAAGAAGAGAAAATCATTCATCAGCATATAACCAGCATTAAGTATTTAATAAAATGACAGCTGCTTTTTTCACTTGGCCTTATAGCTTTTGTTAACATGCTGTTCAGCTTTCTTTCTCTTACATTGACATTAACCAAGTATAATGTATTTCTTTTTGGCTGCCTAGCAGCTGAACTCGTTTTCTGCATCAGAGTATCCCTAACCTTATGAGACTGAGCCTGCTTCTCACTGTTAGAGCTGCCAAATGCCGGCCCCTTCCCTAGTCATCCCTGCAGCACCGGTGCAGCCACGTGATTTCGGTCTACCAACCAGACAAAACTGTGCTCCAAACTCTGAATGGGAAGTTAGGGATTCAAATAATGAGGAACCACAAGAGCGCCACAGTTATGTCTAGTTTCTAGAAGCCGGACTTGCAGTGTGAGGCAACAGGTGCCCAACAGTGGTGGTAGTGATGGTTTCCC